TGAAAAATATTGATGTGGGTGAGAGAAGCCAGCAACAGAGAATTGGTACTGTATCTGCAATCAGAAGAAGTGCAAATGATCAGTTACCTACCTCAATAAGCTTTGTGAAGGTTGCTGATATGAGTGAGGAGCAATGGATTCTGTTTCTTGAAAAGTTCAGAGAGCTTATGTACCCTGCCTTTGGCAACCGAAGGCGTGCAACCATTGGGCAGAGACAGAGGCTGGGATCATCTTGCAAGTTTTGACATAATTTGACTGGCAGTCGATGTAGAAGCATGGAACAGACGACAAACTGCTCTTGTTTTTGTAGATATTTTTGGGGGGTCTTTGAGCTCTGTAGTAGTGAAGAACATTGTCATCGCTGGAAGCAGTCCTGTGGCCTATTCTAAACGTTTTGAGTCTTAGCAAGAAATCACTTGTAGAAAATTAGGGAAAAAAAAGTATAGACAGAAATGAGGAAAAAGCAAAATCCATAGGGGGTTATATATATATTAAGTGTGTGAACTAATTCTGCAATTATATTTTAGTCATTTCTTTTACTTGTGGTGTTCTGCTGTGTGCTCCCATTAAATCTAGCTCCCATTAAATCTAGCTGAGATTTACATGTTCAAAAGGGCAGATAAATCATCCATCGAGTATTTTAAGTGGGACAACCACCCTACTCCCCTACCTTGATTTTAAATGAAGCATATAGCACTCAATGTCTAAATGTTAGCTTGTAAAATAAATACAATAAAACGAGTTCATACAAATAGAATCCATTTTTTATTTCGTAGAGTGAATGAATGAATGAATGAGAATCAACGGAATTAGACAATACACAATTGGAACCCTAGGGATCTTATTCATGCTTATGACTGACAACAACTAATGAATAAATCAGTTACATACTGCTCAGTCAGTCACTCATTAACTCCACATTCCTGCTCCTACGGGATAGATGAACCAAAACAAATTACATTTTTAGGAGGGAGGGTGCAAACTATTTCGGTGGCCGGAATGCGGCGGTCAGGACAGATTATGATAAACCTCGACTTAATTTTGCAGAACCTGCCATAATGGAACTGACTACATCTTTTACAAAACCATAAAAGCAATCTCGGCAGGACTTAGGCATCAAATTGGATTTATGTTGCAGATGAAACTGCTCGGTGTGGCAGCATACTAAGCTTGGAAAGGAAGGCATGCCAGACTTTGGATGCTCTAAACCACATGCAGCCAAGATGGTATGCGTGGAACGCCATGCAATTTCCTTGAATGCATCCACTTCTGCAGAAGCAACAAATTTGGAGTAAAAGTAATTAACTTCTGTTCATGTTACAAATTTCTTTCATCTAAATCCATACAAACAAACATTACACACAGATTGCAAAGGATCTAAATATTTCTGTATAAAAAACAATGCAATGAAATATAAATAGTTCCAAACAAGTTTCAAGGTACTATCGCTTTCCTGTTTTCTCTACACCATGCAAATGGTGAAAATGGTAAATTACTCTTTTGTTCTTTTTCTTTCTCAAGTAATAGTGCACTCTTCATCAAAATAATGCTTAGCTGCTATGAGAATAGATACGGGTTAAATTTGTACTACCTACCCTTATAACTTGCGAATTATAGCATTGACCAAAATAAGTATATGCATATAGATCAAGTATTAAATTAAAGCATGAAAATCATACCTAACCGTTTGTCTTTGCTTAAAAGCTTCAAGTTGATCTTGACAAGAGATTTGATTTCGCTTTTGGCATCATCATATTTTCTGACTTTGCTTTCCACACAATTCTCTGCCCCTCCAATATTTCTCTTCTGCACATCTAGTTTACTGGAAGAAGAAGCAATGAGCTCTGGTTTGGCATAAAAAGAAGAAGAAGCAGGCACACTTTGCTCATCAATGACATTTTTTGAAGCCTGATTTGCATGTCTCTGTAACAATGTTGACCTATTTAAGTTCCCAGAAAACTGAGATTCAAATAATCCTGGTGAATTACTAGTTGAAAGGCCTTCGCTAGACTCTACTCCCTCCTGAGCTGTACCCCTGAACTGCCTTTCCTTTTCCAACTTTAAAGATTGACGTTTTATTGTTTCTTTCTCACGAGAATTACATTTCTTGGCCTCCATTTCAGTTCTTCTCCGATCCCAGTCTCCAAGTTGTCGACTTTTTAAAATATCAACACTTGAGTTTACATTCATTGCTTCTTTTGAGGCACTCGCTTCCCTAGAAAGAAGTTTTGGGTGCTGAACAACACTGCTGGTCTTTGTATGAACATTTTTCCATGCCTTGTCAATATCATCTGAGCCACAACCAACTTGATTTGTTGGTCTCTGACAACCAGTGGAAGATGAGGATTGCGCTTGACCTGATATACCAAAACATGAATGATGAGTTCGTTTAATTGAATCACTGCTTCTGCCAGCAGGAAGTTTTGAGAACTGAACTGCGCTGCTGCACTTTTCATGAGCATGCAGTACTGACCTTGCAATATCCATCATTTTCCACGCCTTGTCAATATCATTATCATGTGAACCACACCTCTCTCGATTTTCCAGTTGCTGACAACTTGTAGAAGATGAGGTTTGTGTTTCGCCTGATTTTTCATGGAATACAACGCCATTATTATGCTTTTGACTACAACTGCAGCCAGATGTAGATGAATTAGAAGGGAAGCTCAACAAACCATTTTGGAAGGAATTCCAATTTTCACGAAGTGCTTGTACACGGGTGTGCACATTGCGATGGCGATCCAATGTTCTTGCAATTGATTCGGTTGGTCTATTGGCAACAGTTGGTCGTGTTCTTGCAACGGATTCAGTTGGTCTGCCGGCAACACTTGGTAGTGTATTTGCAACTGATTCAGTTGGTCTGTCGGCAACACTTGGTAGCGTACTTGCAACTGATTCATTTGGTCTATTGGAAACACGTGGTAGTGTTCTTGCTGGCGTAGTTACTTCAACTGTAATACTGGTACACCCGTCAGGGACAACAGGTGTGACTATTTGAGGGATTCTCATCATATATCTATTAACCACTGTGGTTTGACTATTTGATCCTCGTTCAATGGGCAAGTCAGATGGCACAGCTGTTGGTATGAATTCTTCATCATCAGAATCAGAACTGACATGATTTTCAATCGTAGAAATGCAGTCTTGGCAGAACCAATCATCGTCTGGTAAAGTATGACCAAGTCCAACACAGTATGTATGAGCGGCTGAGTCACACATCTCACAAAGCAACAGAAGACTTTCATCTGTCGCAAGGTGGCACACATCACACACAACGTGTTCATGAGAATGGTAAACCTGCAAATTACAAAACAACCAATGAATGTTAGGGAAATATAAATTTGAAAGAATTTGAAGTTCAGCAAGTAGCAAACTTTTTTTGTAAAATTACAGAACAACCAATGTTAGGGAAACATAAATTTGAAGACATTGAACTTTAGCAAGCAGCAATTTTTTTTGTTAAATTAGAACACAACCAATATGACGGAAACATAAATTTGAGTGTAAAATTTAATCATAAATTTGTTGAATTAGAGCCGTTAATGAAAAATAAAAAAACCCAAATCAGCAATACAAGTCAAAACAAACAAATATTGTCACCTGATCGCGAAGGGGAACCTTGAAGGTTCGCTGGCGGGCAAAGACACCGGCTTTCCGGTGTCTACGAATGGTGGTGAACCTGCTTCGACAAAGTGGGCAGCGTGATTCCGTCTTAGACCACTCCATAATGCAGTAGAAGCAGAAGTAGTGATCACAGCAATCGATTTCGCCTCTGACCGCTTTCTCATCGTTGGAGTAGCAAATTGCGCAGCTCTGAGAAGAAGATGTACTTTCAATTTCTTGGGGGTAGTCTTGGATTGGGTCCTTTCCTAATTGGATCTCGGGTTTAAGGGTTTTCAGGCGTTTGTTTGGGGAAGAAGAAGACGACATGTCTGTGGCACCTGCCATTGGCAGCTTATTAGTGCTACTATGCTATTTCTGCGCCAAGACTTGGAAGCTTTTATTTTGCTACGGAAATCCTAACAGAATCGGGATTATCGGAGGTTTTTTTTTCCTTGTTAAAATTTATGCGCCAAAATTTCTTTCCTTTTTAGAGGGCCTTTATTTTGGTGGAGAAATCAAAACAGAATCAGGATTCTAGCAAATGGGTTGGGCTGGCTTAGTTCTTCAATTTCATGGCCCAAGTTACCAACGTCTCATTAATTTTTCTCTTGTCGATCAGCCCATGAATTTTTTTTTTTTTTTTTTAGGACCTTTCCTATTGAAAGGGGCGATAGCATACTAAACCCACACACACTACACAAATGCTAGGACTCGAACCCAGGATCTTGCCTGAGGGAATAAATACTCCAAACTACTACACTAGTGGGTTCTTTGCATTAAAAATTTGGACCATTTCTCAATTTATGCGTGTCATCCTTACGCAGGGGCCATGCTAATCTTCTCTGTATCGTTCCAATTTTATCTGATGTAGGTAGGTATGTCTCCACAAATACTTGGTAAATTGAAGTTTTATTATCATGCTATTTTCTTTCAGTATTTTGTTCCAACATTATCATCTAGACTAGAGAGTAGTACTTCCCATATTAAAGACAGATGATGATGGAAGCAAAATTTCTCTTTGGTGGGCCAAAAGGGCAGCCTCTCCCCTTCTCGTGTGTGGTGGGAGCATGGTCTGCCACTAAACTATTTTTTTTCCTTTTTACTTTGATTTATTTGAGCCTGTGTGCCTTGTGGTTTTCGTTTCTGGTTATTCTTATTTCTCCATAAAAGAAAAAAAAAAAGGAAGATAAATTTCTGTTTTGTTTGAATTTTTTGTGCATTGTTTTTATTTGATATGCAACTTGTTACTTGAGGCCAAGACCCCATTGAAAACGATAAAAAATGCAGACTCTAATTGAAACAAATGCACTGCAACCATTTAAATCAATGTGTCCTTGCATGTGCTTAAATTAACAGGATACCAAATACAATACCTACATTACGCGCAAAATAAAAAAACAAATAACCAATTTGTCACATTGATGAATGATTTTAATTTTCCGGATGATATAGCATATTCATCTTAATGACAATTAAAGTAATGAGATATTTAACAAAAGCAAAAAGTGATGCTAAAGCAAAAATGTACTCACGAGTCACAGCAATAATTGACCTAACCCCACTCCCACGGCTTACTTTCCAGTTTCCACCATTGATGCACCACAACTCAAACACATACCACTGCTACACAGCTTTGAAAAAACTTCCTAACTGCTCTCGATCACCATGAGCAGTTCAAGCACCACCACCCCAACCCATGCAACCCATGTCTTGGTCTTCCCATACCCAGCACAGGGTCACATGATCCCTCTCCTCGACCTCACTCACCAACTCGCCAACCGCGGCCTCACCATCACCATTCTCGTCACCCCCAAAAACCTCCCTTTCCTCCAACCTCTCCTCTCCGCCCACAACCACCCTAATAATTCCATCCAAACCCTCGTCCTCCCTCTCCCCTCCCACCCCTCCCTCCCCGCCGGCTTCGAGAACGTCAAGGACCTCCCCGTCCACTCCTTCCTCGCCATGATGTGCGCCTTGGGCCAACTCCACCACCCTCTCCTCCGTTGGTTCACCTCCCACCCCAACCCTCCCGTCGCCATCATCTCCGACATGTTCTTGGGCTGGGCCCACCGCCTTGCTACCCAGCTCGGCATTCAGAGGCTCGTATTCTCCCCCTCCGGCGCCTTGGCCCTCTCCGTCATTGACTCGCTCTGGCACTGCCTCCCCAAACGAGATGACCCCAACGACCAAAACCAGGTCTTCTCGTTCCCCCAAATTCCAAATTCCCCGAAATACCCGTGGTGGCAGCTCTCCACCGTGTACCGCTCCTACGTCGAGGGAGACCCAGATTCGGAATTCATCAAGGACGGCTTCGACGCCAACAGGGCCAGCTGGGGAATAGTCGTCAACTCGTTCACCGAGTTGGAGCGAGTTTATCTCGAGCATCTCAAGAATGAGCTGGGCCACGATCGCGTGTGGGCCGTTGGACCGCTGCTCCCACCGGATAATGATGACCTATCCGGGCCCGCACAGAGGGGTGGGTCCAGCTCGGTTTCCCTAGACCGCATCAAGTCCTGGCTGGACGCATGCGTAGAGGATCACAAGGTGGTGTACGTGTGCTTCGGGACTCAAGCCGTGTTGACCAATCGCCAGATGGAGGCGCTGGCATCGGGATTGGAGAAGAGCGGGGTCCGCTTCGTGTGGTCTGTGAAGAGCCCCACGAAGGGACACGCGGAGGGACATTACGGCGCTGTCCCCCCCGGGTTCGATGATAGAGTAGCGGGGAGGGGCCTGGTGATAAGAGGGTGGGCACCGCAGGTCTTTATCTTGAGGCACCGAGCGGTGGGATCGTTCTTGACTCACTGCGGGTGGAACTCGGCTCTTGAGGCGGTGGTGGCGGGTGTGCCGATGCTGGCGTGGCCCATGGGGGCTGACCAATTCAGCAACGCCACGTTGCTGGTAGACCAGCTGAAGGTGGGGGTCAGGGTGTGCGAGGGGGCGGGAAGCGTGCCTGACTCGGACGAGTTGGCCCGAGTGGTGGCGGAATCGGTGAGTGAGAAGCGGGTCGAGAGGGAGCGAGCCGTGGAGTTGCGTGAAGCGGCACTCGAGGCCATCAAAGAAGGCGGGAGCTCGGTGAAGGAGTTGGATAGTTTGGTGGATCGTCTGGCTGCACTGGAAATACCGGCAGGTAGTAAAAATTTGCAATCGATGCGAAATGGAAATTAAAGTGAAAATAGGCATGAATATAATAAAATTAAACTTAAATATTTACTACTAATGGGCTGGGCTTTCTCTTCTCTTTTCTTTTGGGCCTTAGAATAAATTGTAATTTTTGAAAATTAAATATCTTTTAGAAAATTTGGCATAACTCCAAAATCGAAAACAGAAGTTGGATGCAATCCTTGTATTTGTTGTTATTAATATAACTTCTTTGACTTTTGTGCCACGTATGATTATATACTTTCTTGTTTCTTTTCTTCTTTTGACATTTACAATTTTTTTTTTCATTTTAAAATTACTTTATCATTTCCATCATGCCCCTAAAAATTAAATAAAGTAAGAAATTTATTTTGTCATAATAATTAGTTATTATATATTTGAAATAATTAAACGAGGCAACAAATCACGTCTTCTATAATTTTTGAAATAACTATTACATTTCAATCATTCTCCTATATGAACGTTGGTTTTCTTTCTGTTGTGGCTTTGTTTGTATTCTTGCACTATGGCAACCTGTACAATAGGTACATAAATATTCTTTTACTCTTTGCCGCAACTTTTGTTATTCACTGATTTTGTTTGTTTGTTTGTTTTCTTCTTTGATAATACAATTCCTCACTAATATACTCTCATTGTTTTACATTTGATTTTGTTTAGCTCACTTTTTTGCTTCATGTTTTTGTTGTTGTAAAGTTCATTCCCACCTAATATCTTTAATTAAGATGCAATTAATTGTGTTTTCCCCCCACATCATTTTCGATTCCTTTGTTTCTTGATAGTTAATTATCTTCCAATTTTTCCTATTTTTCCCATGTTTTTGTTGTGGCGTTTTACGATTATTGGCTGTATCACTCAAATCCACACATTTTATCTAAAATCTACATGTTTATCAGGTATAGTAGAGTATACTACTTGTGTTAGGTACATTATGTTATATTTACCTAGTAATTAGTTACATTATTTTATATTTACCTAGTAATTAGGTACATCATCTTATATTTACCTAGTATTTAGGTACATTATCTTATATTTACCTAGTAATTAGGTACATTATCTTATACTTACCTAATAATTAGGTATATTATATCATATTTACCTAGTAATCAGGTAAATATTTGTTGGGAAGATATCATCAATAATTCTCCTACTTGCATTGTTTTATATGAACTTCTTTTATGTCATGGCGGCAATAGAATGATTCCAAATTTAAAATATGAAATCTATTTAGAAGGAAAGAATCGATACATTAATTTGGATTTTCAATTACTGTTCTTTCCTTATTTACCTTAAAGGGAAAAATTGACACATGAAAAAAATTAATAAAAGTCAATGAACCCAAATTTATAGCAAAAAAAGTGTGGACTAAAACCAATGACAGACTACGAATTTTGGACTTGGATCGAAGAACGCCAATATCTTTTCCATACATGCAAGTACGACACTCCAAAGTTGTCGCTCCCGCAAAATGCTTACATAACCACAAATGATAACCCAAGAAGATATAGAAAAACAAAAGCGTTTACAAAAATCACAAAACGCTACCTATATATATGAAAAACTTAGCTAAATGAGGAAATGAAGAGTATAACAAAACTTTGTGTCCTAAAACTAAAGCCGCCGCCTTCACTGCTACCACTAGTTCTCTTGCTCTTCCTTAGTTATTCTTAGGTGGATGAGGTTTCGGGACATGATAATCGGCATTGAGAGGTATAAAACCATCGATTTTGACCTTCATTCGACGACGACGACGATTACTTATGCTTCTGATGAACCTACGTTCTCTACCAATATTATTGAACCCTTCCTCATTTATCATTTCCGGCATGCTCATTTTCCTGCCCCCAATAATTCTTGTACATTCAACTTCATCCATGGCAGCAGGAACGCCATCATAAATTTCCTGATTTTATTAGAGAATAAGTTATATCAAATTTCTAGAACATGTATGTATTTTCAGAGTATTCTGTAATATGTACTAGTACCTTTTCAACATTTACGGGGCTTCTTCTTGGTATTGGTCGCCCAATTTCATCAGAAGCCGGTACTTTGCTCAAAGCTACAAGAACATCAAACTAAGAATCAAAGCTATATATATATATATATACTTTCATCATTTAAGAAATTTAAGGAAAAGAGCAAATACGTAAGTTGAAATGTACGTACCTCCGTGTGTTACATGTAGCAAAATGAAGAAAGGTACAAGGGTAATGATGAGCCTTAAAAACACCATATCTTTCTGTTCCTTTTCTTCTTTGGGTTGTTGTTCAACTTCGACAGCCACCGAAAGAGAGGAACCCTATGAAATGGAACGGGGGTCTTTATAGAGTCCAAATCTAGGTCAAGGCAGCAAATTAAGCTACGTACGGCTAGTCAGTCAACACTATGTGTCGTAATTAAAATATGATTAGGGGGGTTCTCTGGGGAAAAGGATCAAAACAAATAACAGAAAACAAAGCAGTGTTCAAATGAAGCTTTGGTTAATGGAAAAGCATTGAAAATGGTTTTTCTGATTATATATATATAGTTGAAATTGTTTGGAAAAAGTGTTGTGAATGTGATCGCGTGGAATGGAAGATACGGTGTTCAGCGCCTGTCTGCCGCCATGCATGCAACGAGGAGGTTTGTTTTTCTGGCCAAGGCAGGCCAAGGTTGGCCCGCATACAAGTTAGCCCTAGGGTTTTGGACTTTATATTAAATTATTAATATTAATTAGTTGCAGACTCTGCTCCCCATATGGACATCCATATATTTACTCATTCTCAATCTTTCCTGGGGTAATTTCAATATAATATACGTATGTGTGTGTGTAAATGAAACAGGTAAAAGTGAGTTTGAGAAGCACATGCTTAGCTTAGCTCCTCATTTGACCAAGTTGCCTGGGCACACCTTCATATATAGTAGGCCTCCTTAATTATAGACTTAGTCGTTTTTTAAGTGTGAATAGGAAGCTTTGTGCATACTTAATTAGGTTATTTGTTAGATTTGTTATTTATTTTTACCATAAGGCTGCCCGAGCATGTCCATATTTGACTGATTTTAGTCGTGAACTGTGAAAAAGTGGGTTCAAACTTCAAACACCACGGTATGCATCGGTATGCATAGATGAAAGTGAAAAGCTTTTATATTCACATGGATTTTGAAATCTGAGATATGTAATTTGCATTCGGTGATTCAATCTTTGTCTTCGAAAACCTAATTTGCAAATTTCAATCATGTTACTTACTAAGATCCTATTATATATGCGATTAAATAAGCTGAATCCAAGCGTACCATTCATATTCATACGAAACAATATAAAAATCCTAAAGAAATATTAATTACTTTTTATTAGTAAGCTTTATTCTCCGTGGCTTTGCTTGAAGAATTTGTACGCCGATGTACGGTAAAAAATCTTAGCTTTAAGAATTTAGGGATTCTAAATGCATGTGGATATGCAAGTTTGGAGAACAAATTTCAATTAAACACAGCTTTTGGTTTGCGAGTTTGGCATTTCAAACAAACCATAGGGGTTCAATGTTCAAATAAAAAAGGAAAGTTGGTTTGCCTTTACAAAACATGGTCACATGGAACCAACCTTCGATCTACACTATATATGCATATTTTGCATCCTTGGGAGTCACACGTACCTTGTTAACTCATTGGAAAAGGTCCAATAAGAAACCCAACCAGACCAAAAACGATGCTTATACTGTTCCACCGACATTAAATCCACTAATAGAAAGCAATTTCAGATTTGGGTATGAAGGAAAGAAAAATGAATAAAAAGGAAGGCGAATGAAAAAAATTATTTTTTTGATTATCTTATTTTTGATAATATCAGTATTTTAAACTACTTTAGTGTATGGAGACGGCCGGAGTTCGAACTTAGCTTATCCTGCATATGAAAAGAAATCCATATTTCCTTTTTTTTTTTTTTTCCAAACATCAACATGAAAGTGGGTACCACACTTGCTACGTCACCAATTTAAAAGAAAATCTATCGGTGAAGTAGAAGGAAGGCATAATTTGGTCAAATTTTAAAACGTTAATTGAAGATGGAAAAACTTGCATTTGGGTGGTGGGCCAATCACCCTTAGCATAATCCAATCACTTGCCCTGATAATTTGACAAAGGAAAAGTGAGGCCTATATTAATCTCTACAAAGTTCCAAAGCCCAGTAGAAGCCCACAACACCAGCAAAATATTCAATCTTACCCGCCAAATCCAAACCCCCATTTCCCGCCAAAACCCACACTGATTTTCTCTCTCAATTAGTTTACCATACAAACAAGAAAAAAAATATAAAAACAAAAACAAAACAATTTAAACAACAAACAAAGCCGGAAAGCCATAAAAACCAAATCCAGGTTTCCTTGGAGCCGCCGAGCCATGAAGGTCCGATCGCTGAAGCTCCGAGAGGCCCACAAGGCCACGAGCAGCAACGGCCGCCCGTCGTTCTGCTCGGTATTGTGGGACCAGCAAGCCTACCACGTCGTGACGGCCTCCTCCGCCGACCCCACAATCGCCATCCACGACTCTCTTCTCCCCTCCAGTCCTCCGAAGCTCCTCCAGCACCACCGCGACGGCGTTACTGCCATCGCTCTCAGCCCCAACTCCACCTGCCTCGCCTCTGGGTCCGAAGACCACTCCGTCAAGCTCTACAAGTTTCCTGGTCACTATCTTCCCCATTTCTCATGATTTTCGTTTTTTTTGGGTCTTGTAGAAATTGGGGTTTCTTTCATCGGTTTGATTCTTTGGGTTTGAAATTGAGTAATATTAGATTTTGTCAATGTGATGTGTGAAATGCAGGAATTGGAAGGAATTATTGAATTTTAAAACTCACTAGTGTTTGGATCTCTGAAAAATAAACTGAATGCTTGAATGTGTTTAGAGAATTAGAGGTTTTATAATTGCAAAAGCATATTATGGTTATGAATTTGTCAGTGTAAACTCCTGGATGTGAATGTCCATTCATTACCTGGTTACGCATGTCATTTCAAATTCAATTATTGATTGGGCTTTGCCAATTGTTGCCATGTCTAATAATCTTTTGAATTATGCTTGTTTGAACTTCCAGTTTGATTTCGGGGAAAAAATGACTTATGGTTTGATTAATTTTGTAATTCTACTTTGTTAGGTGGAGAGTTTCAGACTAATATTACCAGATTCACGCTGCCAATACGCGCCCTTGCGTTTAACAAATCAGGGACACTGTTGGCTGCTGCTGGTGATGATGAGGGCATTAAGCTTATTAACACAGTTGATGGTTCAATTTCAAGAGTTCTCAAAGGACACAAAGGATCTGTGACTGGCTTAGCTTTTGATCCCCACAGTGAATACTTGGCTTCTATTGATTCAACTGGGACTGTAATATACTGGGAACTTCAATCTGGAACCACATTGCATACCCTTAAAGGGATAGCTCCTAACTCTGGTTTCGACCGTTCCATCATGAATGTACTCAGCTGGAGTCCTGATGGAAACAAATTAGCTGTGCCGGGGTTGAGAAACGATGTGGTGGTGTACGATAGAGACACAGCTGAGAAGCTGTTTTCATTGAGAGGTGACCACACACAGCCTATTTGTTTCTTGGCTTGGTCACCTAATGGAAAATACATGGCCACTTCTGGTTTGGATATGCAGGTTCTCATATGGGATGTCGATCAGAAACAGGACATTGACAGGCATAAGTTTGATGAGAGAATATGCTGCTTGGCGTGGAAGCCAATTGGCAACGCACTGGCTGTTATTAATTGTACGGGCAAGTATGGTGTGTGGGAATCGGTGACTCCTTCATCAATGAAGTCTCCCACTGAAGATGTTCCCAATCAAAAATTGAATAACAGCAATGGTCTGCTTTTGTTTGACGAAGAGGAGGGTGAGGAGCTTAGCACTTCTGGTAGTTTAAGTGATCTCGGTGAAGATAGCCATGGGGAATCTGAACCACCTAGCAGGAAGAGACTACACAAGCACTCTGCATACGACAATGATTTAGAAGGGGACGGTTTTGATGACTTGAGCTTGCTCCCAAAAGTTGAGTCCCATAAAAAAGCACGCCGTAAACATAGTGAAAAAGCTGATAACGAGAAAGAGGGGGTAAGCAGCAAATTGACATCTGTTAGACCAAAAATGCAGGTTGCCTTCCAGCCAGGCGCCACTCCTTTGCAGACTGGGAAAAGGCGCTTTTTGTGCTATAACATGCTTGGAGCTATAACCACAATTGAACATGACGGTTACTCCCATATTGAGGTAAACTATGCCTTAAGTTGACCAAACCCTCTCCCTCTCCCTTATCCTCTTCCTCTTCCTCTCTCCACCCTCCACACACAGAGACTTCAAGATAGAATTGTTTTTGTTAGCCAGGAGTGCCTTTATATCATACTGACATTTTAGTGTGTCTTGGATACAGATAGATTTTCATGATACAAGCCGAGGTCCAAGAGTTCCATCAATGAACGACCATTTCGGTTTTACCATGGCTTCACTAAATGAGAATGGAAGTGTTTTTGCAAATCCCTCCAAGGGTGAAAAAAACATGAGTACTCTCATGTATCGGCCATTTAGGAGCTGGGCAAATAATAGTGAGGTTAGATCGTTGCCTTTTAAAACTTATGCATTCATGCTATATTCTGGTGTGGTGATTTATACATGCACACTCTAAATATAGTAACTTCCTATGTATGATGAATATGAGAACTTTAGTATATGCTGACTTTGATGTGTGATGCAAACCTAGTGGTCTATGCGATTGGAAGGGGAAGAAGTGAAGGTTGTGGCACTTGGTACAGCTTGGGTAGCAGCAATTACGAGTCTTAACTTTCTCCGCATTTTCACTGATGGTGGTTTGCAGGTATGTTGACTTCAGTTATTTTTAGTTTTGGAGGAAGCAATCGGATTTTAATGGATATGATTCTTGCCTTCCTGAATACATTCTTAAATGTAAATTAGTTCATCAATCACTTTTGATTTTAAGTTACTCTAAATGGTTGATGATATTGAGGTTAGTTTCTGGAGATGTCTGTTTTTCTGAAAGCATTTCATTGCAGAGACATGTTCTCTCCCTTGATGGACCTGTGGTGACTGCATCAGGCTTCATGGATGAGCTTGCTATTGTCACTCATGCTTCTGAATGTCTTCCCTCAAATGAGCAGGTCTGACTTTCAAGTGATTGCTCATATTATATTCGGGTGCTGATATGTCCTATTCATCTTTTTTTAACTTAGAAATATGGATTTATAAAATTCGAACTCTATAAGTCCGGAAGTGCATGTTGATACGATTGACATAAGTTCTAATAAAATCGATCAATTTTCCTCTTGTTAAAAAGCTGTCATCCACTCACTCCAGTAGGAAGATACATATGTGCTGGCTGATGGTTTGCACTTGTTATCTCATACTATTTTATATGCTGAAATGAATTACTTTTTCTTCTGAACATGCAGATGCTTGAATATAGAGTACTTAACATAACTAATGGGAGCCAGCCTCTTAGAGGACGTCTGCCTTTGACTCCTGGTTCACATCTAACATGGTTTGGGTTTAGTGAAGGAGGGCAATTAAGCTCCTATGATTCCAAGGTACTTTCACTCTATTTTAAAGTAATTCTATTACTATGAGTTAGAAACTGCTCTTGAAATTGGATATAAAGTCCATCATTTTATTTGATAGGGTGTGCTCAGAGTTTTTACAAGCCAATATGGTGGCAGTTGGCTCCCACTCTTCAGGTTCAAGATTCCTTTGATAAAGAACATATATAGAATGCTTCTCTAAATAAAAATCTCCTGATATTGGATTCTGTCACTTGATTTATAACAAAAATCTATTATGCAGTGCTAGTAAAGAGAAGTCAGATGAAAATTATTGGGTGGTTGGGTTGAATGCAAGCAAATTGTTTTGTATAGTTTGCAAAAGTCCAGACTTATACCCGCAGGTAGGGATGGCTCACCACCTCCTTCCTCTCAAAATTTTCCTTAGTAAATCATTTCTTGACCATCCTACTTTTTCAGGTGATACCCAAACCAGTCCTCACTCCGCTAAACTTTTCATTTCCTCTAGCATCCTCTGATCTAGGAGCAGATGCTCTTGAAAATGAGTTTATGCTAAACAACATGCACCTCGTACAGGTGCGTCCTTTCATCCTCACCTCCTAGATTTTATTGTCTGTCATGCAAACTTTTCAAATTTTTAGCTTGTTCTATGTCCTGCTCTATGCCTGTTCTGCTGACTGCTGGTCAATGGCTGAGATGATCACATGAATGTAACTTTACAGGTTCAAAAGCAAATAGAAGAAGTGGCCGGTGCTGGTTTGGACACCACTTCACTTGACGATGAAGCTTTCAATACAGAAGCAGCTCAAGATAGATGTATCTTAAAGCTTATTGCATCCTGCTGCAGTGGTGAGTCTTTTACAGTCTATGCAACATCAATTTTATAATCTTGATTCAACAAAATGAAAAATGTTGTGAGTATTGAAATGCTTGCTTATGGTGGTTATTTCAGGAGATAAGCTTGTGAGAGCTACTGAACTTGTGAAGCTTCTATCCCTGGAAAAATCAGTAAGGGGTGCAATTAAGCTTGTTACTGTTCTGAAGCTCCCTAACTTGGCTGAAAGGTTCAATAACATATTGGAGGTAAGGTTTCAATATCGAACTATGAGTGTGCATATCTCCACTTAGAGTTAGCCACATTGGAAACCAATCTGTTTCCATTTTCATCCTGCAGTTTCTTATGATCTCTTATAAATTCTAACAGGAAAGGTTGCTCAATGAAAGTAAAAGAGCCTTGGAAACCACTTTCCCTAACTCAAACTGCAATGCATCCTCGATCACGAATGACATTGCACCCAGCAAGACAATTTTCTCTACCGAGCAGAGTAAGTTGCCAGGGAATGACATTCCATTATCATCAACAAAACTGTCGGCTCCCATATTTACAAAGAAAGCCAAAACACAAGAAGCTAAGGTTGGGATAGAGAAAACAGAAGAAAAACAAGCTGCAATGGCGGCTGATCTTGGGAAGGTAAAAACGACAGAGGGGAAGAATGGTGCAAAGTTGAACAACGCAGGAGACATGAAGAAGGTAGGGGAAACGTCTCAGGCACAATCACCTGCCTCATCAAATGATCAAGAGAAAGTGAAGAAGGCAGAAGTAACTCGACGAGCATCTAATCCATTCATGAAGAAATTGATCAAGTAAGGTAAGGTCCTCTGTTCACTAATTAATTACAAGGAGTTTGAATGCATAGCTTAGAGATGAGATTTGCTAATAGTATACCAACTGGGATGAACATTCAAGTAATACGACCCAGACAAGAATTTGTCTCAATTTTTTCTTTCCTTTTTTCTATCTAGAGTCGCATCGCATGTATCAAGGATGCGTCAAATCATAAGTGTGTGCTATGTAATTATGTAAACACCAGAGCCTCTATTTCTTCATTTTTATTTTATTTTATTATTTTTAATAATAAAAATAGATCACTTTTTTTTTTTTTTTTGAAGTGAGATCATTTTCTTCCTTCTTGAAGTACTATATATTTGGGACTAAGAAAAATTGTGACCTTACAAACCCGTTTCATTTAATGTAAGAATTATTGGGCCTAAAACTTGTTGTGGGCTCAGAATGGGCCATGAAGACAAGTATAGAAGCTACGTCAGAACAGGCCTAAAGCGTTCATGCTCCTAACTAGGGTGATTTCGGATGTCATTTCTTCGTTAGGAAAGGTGGTCCAAATAATGCCCCCCAAAAAAATTAAAAACTACAAACTAAAAACAAGGCAAGGTTGCCAAAAACTGGTTTCCTATTCTCTAAAGATTTTTTGTTGTTGGACTATTCTCTAAAGATTACAAATTGTTAAGTTTACAATTAATTTATTTTCAATAAAAAATACGAAATTCAAACAACTTTACTCTAAATTAATCTAATTTAAGAAAAATGAGATTTAAAATCAGGTGCTGTAGAGTACAAAAAGCTTGCCTAATTTTATTTGAATTAGGATCTTTTTCCTAGAATGAGTTAAATTTTTTTTTTCATTCTAGTGTTAGATTGTTATAAATACCTCCTTATATAATTCATGATGGAGTTGAGATTGGAGATATTGAGTAAAGTTTAGTTTCAGAAATTGGAATTCTTGGTGTGAAGCCAATACATTTTTATCCATCTATTTTCTATTTTTATCATTATTTTCACTTCCGCTAAATTAACTTGCATCTTCCCCTTCAAAGTTAGCAGGTTATTATTGTAACTTAGCAATAAATTCATGTTAATATCTATCTTATGTGCGAATTCAGTGAGCGACAAACAGCCAAACACTTCTACCTCTCGTTCGGGAGGGGACACAAAAAAAGGTGAAAAATCCAAACCACACAAGTCTATTTTGCAAAGAAAGAGGGGTCAATCCGTAATTTTACTGTTGTTACATTACAAACTTTAAAACCCTCATATTTTGGTCGCTTCACCATTTAGTGCAAACCAGAACCGAACCCGAAGAAAATTACATATCAATGGCGGACGTAACCTTCCTTCACCTCCACGACCCAGACGACGAGCCTCACCAAACCTTAACCCTAGACCCCCTCCCCTACTGGGCCCACCACGACTTCGACCTCTACTCCTCCGATCCCGAATTCCCGCCCTCCGATCGCTCCCTCCGCGCCCACATCCTCACCGTCCACGAAGACGAAGACGAAGACGAAGACTGCGACGACCTCTTCTCCCAATACCAATCTACCATCCACGTCATTCGGAACAACGACGTCTCGGAGCCCAGTTCTATTTCCAACCCCGGTTTGCTGGAGGACCGCGAGAACCAGGTCAATTTCGTCATGGATCTCTTCCAGCAACGCGTCGAGCAGTCTCAGGTAACCGTTCGTTCCGTTTCGGTTTCTGAAGCTCTTAACGATGATTTCAGTTTTGGGGTTATTGAGGGGAATTGCGATTGCGATGTGGGTATGGGTGGTTTGGACCTCGATTTAAGTTTAGGGTTAGGGTCAGGCTTAGATTCTAGGCATTGTTTGGATGGTGATGGTATTGATGATCCTGACGAGGACGATTTCTTCGTGGGAAGGAGGGTTTCTGTGTCTGAATCTGGTGAGGCAACGTCTAATTTAAGTAGGGCTGAAGCTTTTGAGAATTGCGTGCGGCTCGTTGGGTTTGGGTCCGATTCAGATGAGGAGGATGAGAATGGGGTTATTGGGATTGATTTGAATTCTGTGGATGAGCATAGTGCGTATCATCTTCCGGATGACTGTGACGATGATACAAGCATCCCACTTTGTTGGGATTCGCTTCTTTTGGAAGACCACAGGGAAAATAACGAAGATTTCGAGTGGGAAGAAGTTGACGGTGGCGGTGAGGAGCGAGAGGTCTTCAGCATGTTTATTGATCCTGATCATACCGAATCAGGATCGGTCTCAGTTTCAGTTTCGACAATAATTGCTCCTGAAGAGGAAGTGAGTGTGGAGAGAATTGAACCTTTGGAGAGTTTAGAATGGGAAGTTCTGTTGAATGCCAGTAATTGGGAGACAAACCCAGATGCTGAACCGTTTAATGGGGGAGATCATGATGATTATATATACACTGCAGAGTATGATTTGTTGTTTGGGCAATTCTCTGAGAATGAGAATGCATCAACGGGGAGACCTCCGGCTGCCAACGCTGTTGTTGAAAATCTTCCCTCAGTGGTTTTGACTCAGGAGGATGTGGACAACAGTAATGCACTTTGCGCTGTTTGTAAGGATGACATGAATATTGGGGAACAAGCAAAGCAGCTGCCTTGTGCACATAGGTACCATGGTGATTGCATTGTGCCATGGCTGCGCATCAGAAATACATGTCCTGTCTGTCGACATGAATTACCTACCGATGATGCTGCGTATGAGGGCAGAAGGACCCAAGCTCATTCTGTTGAGGGCATGAGGACCCAAGCGCATCCTCTTGGCTTTGATTATGATGAGGTATTTTTTTGAAAGTCAGCATTAGGTTCTTGAAAATGTAGATATCGCTGTGGCGAAGTGTTTACCTCTTGTATTTGGTTAAAAGATGGAGGATAAGATGATTCAGGATGCTTTGTTTGTTTTGATGAGAGTATAAGAATGTTTTATGGCTGGATTATCATGTTAATTATTTCTGATCATTGTTAACATTTTTTATGGGAATTTTGTTGTTGGAGGATAATTCTTCCCTTATGATGGTCAGGTCAAGCATATAATGTAATAATATGTTTCATTTTTTGTGTGCTCTTTCATCCTTGAGATTTTGGAGGCCTATACTACCCATCTGGACATGTTTTTTCTTTGATAGGAAACGGAAAAAGTAATTCTATCAGTTGGAAAAGGAGATGCATATTTGCGTTAAACTCATGAAACAGCTGCATCTCACTCAAAAAGCAAAGGGAGTAAAAAAGAAGAACAAGTTAGAAATCAAATTATTGGGTAAAATTAAAATTCGAATGACTGTATGCTTCTAAATTATTGGGATTTTATCCACTACATTCCTTGTATATTTTCTCAGGGGGCGCAATTTGGGAAAAAGAAAAGAAGCATTAAAGCACAACAATTGGTGCTTGCTTATGCAGACTGAGCATATGTTAATGATAGTCAATATATTGGATTAAGTGTTCAACCACTAAATCAAATAAAATTTATGTTTCTGTAACCAATTTAGCAAAAGTAAGCTGATGATGCCCATCATTTGTATCTTGTCTTTTTTCTTTTTTCTGCCGGAAACGTTTGTTTGTGTCCTATTTATAACCTTCACGCATTTCTGCATAAAAACTCAGGAAAGAAATATTTTACAAATTCCTTTGTCCTTAAACTAGGTTGGTTATTTTTGTACATAGAGGCATAGCTTTGCATCCTTAAATGTCATGGAAAAGACATTTAATCACTTGGAATTCATTAAAGTAAATGTGTGAGCTTCTCAATCAAGATAATTTATTTGTATTTATCACCTAAATTAATCCTAGGAGCAACCAAAAAAAGCTTAAGTAGGAGTTTAAGTCATATTTTCACTTTTGTATGAGCCATCCATACAACAACACAAACAAACCTTGTAAACCTTTCGGTTGAAAGATCAATCTGTCCATTTCATGAGATCACTTGTCTTCATGAACTAGCCTTTCCCTGCATTTATAGCAAATCCTAGTTTCTCTGTTAAGCACATTCTTGGCGAGACGTTCTGAGGAAGTAATGTAAAATATGCAAATTAATGTGATCATCCACTCTAAATTCTTTCATAATTCTGCACGCATCTCCTGAAATTAGCATCCCTCTCTTCAGGTCTTGCCTTGAGATGTTGATATGAATTCATGTAAAGACAAAAAGAAAAAAAAAAAAAGAGTTAAACAACATACAATATATGACAAGAAGCTAATGTGCTTGCGTCCTTGCATCAATTAATCTCCCTAGTTAGCTAGAGCCATATCTCATAAACAAAACCGCAGTTCCTTCCAGTCAAATTTCTTAAAACTTGAACGCCAAGAAACGCACGCGCGTGTGTATATATAGTTGCTACAAGCTCACTATAAATTCAGTATGGTACTTGTTCTCTAGAACAATTAAACCCCTTGTGAAATTTCTGTATCCCTTCCCCTCCTAGTTACCTGAAAATTATTCACCCTGATGGAGCCAAATGAATCAAAGGGACCCCATTACTTAACTAGTCATTCTATCCCAACTCAATCCCATCCATACCCAGTTCACAATCTGGATTCCATATCACTTTGCCCCACTAGGTTCTTCCCCCTCTCTCACATCCATGATTTCTCACCAAACACCTCTTCTCTCAGCAATGAAACTGCCTTTGATGAAGCAGGGGAGCAAAGCATTAACTATGAAAGGAGGCTCAAGAGAATGATATCCAACAGAGAGTCTGCAAGAAGGTCACGGATGCGCAAGAAGAAGCAGATTGAAGAGCTGCAGTATCAGGTGGATCAGCTCCATGCTACAAATCGCCAGCTCTCGGAGAAGCTCATCCAACTGTTAGAGGGCAACCAGCTGATCCTCCAGGAGAATGCTCAATTGAAAGAGAGAGTTTCTTCCCTCCAAATCCTCCTTGCCGATCTCATAACACCTCTGAGGAATGTGGGAGATGTCACCACCACCAACACCAATGGCAATCGACTTAGAGCCGAAGATTCCAGTACCCCATGATTACATCTCTGCTATGAAACATGGAAGAACTTCATTCGGTACAGGGTTTCACTAGTATTGATGCTTAAAATTTTCCCTTTTCTTTTCCCTTTCTTTATATGGGTAAATACAGTCAAAGATACATGAGTTTAACTGGTGCAATACAAATCTCTCAGTTGAGTTGTGGTAAGGCCGTATGCATGTAATATTGTGCTTTTTAGTTGTTCTGCGAAGTCATTTTATGCTTCAGCGATGTTGAATGTCATGTTATTTGCCAACGATTTGCATCTCAACTATACGTTGCTCAATAAAATTAATATGGCAGGCATCTGATGCAAAGACATCAATTGGCATAAGAAACTCCTAATAGCTGAATTAGAGATTTCCAAAATGTTGGGTTCATGTAATTCAGTAATTTGTTAGCACCCATCATCATTCAACACGTTTATTTGTGTACAAAATATGATATATGTAGGTCTTAGAAAATAGACAAAAACTATCATCAACTGTTCTTCTTTGCTAGGTGCTTCCCATTTGAGATGTTAGATGGGGACTCGGCTATGGTAGTAGTCGAACAGCTGTTGCTCTGTTCTTCAAAACCCTGCACTGGGTCTGCATATGATCGGGTACAAGGCCACCTAGACAATGAGGAACTCAACATGATTAGATTCTGAAAAAATAAACACACGATATTTCAGGAAAAAAAAACACATGCTTCAATAATTGTACCTGCTTGACTTAATAATCTCATCCTGGATTGTCATATCTTCATCAAAGATGTTGCCTGCAAGAATGTAGTAATTTTAATTTTGAATAACTCTTTGACTTGCCTTCATCATTATTTCAATTCAATAATGAAAAGCTGTGTTTTAAAATGTATTCCGCATCATAGATTTAAAAAAAAATGCTGCACACCTCCATACAGATTCTTCTTTGAGAAGTATTTTGCAGTCAACCAACGACTGTAGTCAGCTTCATATTTCTTGAACTTTTCAATGTGGTTGGCACTATGAAGATCACTAACACAAACAAAGGACATAGTTTATAGCTCACCCTCTGGTTCAAATTTGTAATATAACATACAAGAGAAGTTAAGATGCATTATAAGCATGAAAGATAAAATCCTGGAGCAGCAGAAAAACTTTCCACTAAGCTCGCAGCAAGAGAAAAACAGAATCCGAAGACGGCACCAATAGGAGCAAACCTGTACTAATGATAACTGAATGTCTAGGGCAAGAGTGATCCTAAAGAAATTCTGTAATCTGATGATACATATTCTGTCAAAAAGCTTATTACAAAGACTCACAATAAGATATTGTTAAACAGCCCTAGCATCCCAGCTAGCCACTGGTTACAAAATAACCTGTTAATCCTAGCCCTTAAGATTACTTAATACTCTCATGTCACATGATTTTAAATAACTAAGATCAAAACTAGTACATCAACAAGGCATTAGTAAGACTTTTGGGCGCTCCTGCATCACAGACAGACCTAACTTGAGTCATGATAACTTGTCACCAACCATGACCAATTCATGCATTTACAACAACAAAAGCACCATGTAATGGGAATGTGAACTATTAGATGTAATTCGCATATACTCTGCGTTTTCTTGAGATAAAGGAAGATGGGTAAATGATATCATCTACATCAGCTAACTACACAGAGAGGTCTCTGGCATAGACCCGGACAAAGTTTACAACAAAAGCATCACTGATTCTAGAAGGAAGGGCATAGGTCAAAGACTTTCCAAATAAGCTTCTAATAAAGAGAAACTTATTTACCTTTGATAGTTTTAAGATGTTATGAATTATATACAATCCTCTACCTATTACCATTGGGGGAGTAAGACAAGGTGTCTGACCTCTCCAACTGCAGCAAAACAAAACTGCATAAGCTGAGAGACCAAGACTGCTGACAATCAGTCAGTCGGAATGAAACCAGTTGCTTTGAGTAGGGTGAACCCAGTCAGCATGTGTCTGCTTTGGAGGTCAGGGGATACTATTCCTGGGGTATGATTATGTAAACCAAGGAACCTCCTCAGTCTTATTTAAGAGGAGTCATATCATAGTACTTTCTTTCCATGAAGTGGTTAATTATGTTGACTAAGACTTCAGATGGCTAAACGTCCACCACCATAGACTGCTACATTACTGAAGTTGCAATTAGGCTGACTTACACCCATCTAGAAAACTTTCTTCTGGTATACATGGTAGATAAAGATTACAATTTCTGTTTGTGTGTGTGCGGATACAAAGGAGAGAGGAAGGCTTAGAAGTATAAGTGTAAGGCCCGGAAATTCAAATGCCAAAAATGGAAAGCAGTAACTCATGAAAATCAAATAAACATATTCAGGAAAGCTCTAAAACATGTGAGCATATTGAAGGGCAGAAGATGAGACATTTTGAGAAGAGTTTCACAACTGAATTTTTAAAAATATGAAACAACTTGAATTACTGTGTCCATGTACAAGTAAATTTTTAAAAATATGAAACAACTGAATTTTTAAAAATATGAAACAACTGAATTTTTAAAAATATGAAACAACTGAATTTTTAAAAATATGAAACAACTGAATTTTTAAAAATATGAAACAACTGAATTTTTAAAAATATGAAACAACTGAATTTTTAAAAATATGAAACAACTGAATTTTTAAAAATATGAAACAACTGAATTTTTAAAAATATGAAACAACTGAATTTTTAAAAATATGAAACAACTGAATTTTTAAAAATATGAAACAACTGAATTTTTAAAAATATGAAACAACTGAATTTTTAAAAATATGAAACAACTGAATTTTTAAAAATATGAAACAACTGAATTTTTAAAAATATGAAACAACTGAATTTTTAAAAATATGAAACAACTGAATTTTTAAAAATATGAAACAACTGAATTTTTAAAAATATGAAACAACTTGAATTACTGTGTCCATGTACAAGTAACCAAATTCAATCAGAGAATGTATGTCAAAATGATGCAAACATGGTTTTCTGAAGAAGTATCCACATAAGTTAGTTCCATCCTCTCATAAATATTTAGGTCACAATTATCTGTAACTAAAACATGGTTTATATTCTCTGTGCAGAGTTTACGCTGGTCCTTTACAATCTATTCAATTTTTGGGAAGTTTATTCTAGCTCAATTTCAAAATTCATCACTCTGCAAAAATTGGAAAAGGAGTGAAATTTAAGAACCCAACTGCTTTAATTAATTCCCTCTTCATTTGTTTTTCCTGGAAAACCAACTTATAGACACTTAGCCAAAAAATAAATGACAAACACATAAATAAGCAAAAGTTAGTATGTCAAGAAATGCTTTCCTTTCGATTGTATTGCTACGTGTCTATCAAAAACCAAACTTATGAGTAGGCCAAAGCAATAAAATAAACACATCGGTAAGCAAAATCTCATCTTGCTTATTAAAGTTTTAGTTATTGGGAAAATTATATTCCAAATACTATAGAGAGAATAAAGAACAAAGGAAAATACTCATAATATGCGAATTAATGGCATGGTAATTGCAAATACATTTCTCAAAACAGTGAACATAACAGGTAGGGGAATTACTCGCAAAAAGAAAAGAAAGGAAAGAAGACTCACTCAAAATATGCAGAAATATCAGGCTTTTTCTCGTCGACATTGAGAACCCCATTGTTGACTCCAGCATCAACCTTGCACATATATATTTTTTTTAAAAAGATGAAATGAAAAGAACCCATAAGAAATCAATATTACGCCGACCATGCGACATGCGCATACATATATAAATATATATAGATAAAGTGTGTGTATACACATCTATATATGTAGAGAGAGAGTGAGAGAACCTGTGGATTTGGAGGAGAGTGAGAGATGGGTTCAGTGGCGGAGTTGTCGGAGCTGGAAGCAGAAGACGGTGAGGCTGGAGGAGACGACGGAGACGGCACACTCGCCATTCCGCAATTTTGCTGCAAACAACTAACAACCCGTAAACCACTCTCCAGACTCCAGAGCAAGTGAAAAATCGAGGCTTCAAAAGTTTGCTGCTTGCTTCCATCTGTGCAGTCTTTTTTTTAGTTTTTATTTCAGCGAGGGATGGTTATTGTTGTGGACCCGAGGTCAGGTAGGGTCCACCGACAACAAATAATCTAATCCTATACATTTGGAAATCTAGAATTGTATCTCATTCTTTCAAGAAATTTGTACGATTTTGTTAGTGGTGTGGTGTGGTGTAGCCAAATGTTAAAAAAATCTTGCAAAAAAATATCAAAAATAAAAAGAGATCGGATTCATTAGTTTTTGTCCTCTCGAAAATGTGCTTTGAACAACAGGAAGTCAAAATTGATAAATTTTGTAACAATGGGGGAGTTAGAGATTGAAATGCAATTATAGATCTAATGAATAATGTTTCAAGCAATTATTGTCGAAAGGAGCTTTGACCCCTCAACTTTGACTTCCACTAATGAATAATGTGATTATTATTACAAATAAAAATCATTTCGGTTATCACTTACATTACATGATGTACAAATGAATGAAAGTCTCTGAAAACTTGCTTGGTTTTTTTAAATTTATTTACCAATAATCTCCACAAGAACAAAGGCCATGCTTGAAATGATGGAAGCGCTTATTGTCTCTCACAACTATCTCTCTTTCAACAACCTTGGATATCAACTTAGCAGCATTGTGACAATCTACACAAATGCGCAGGTTTTTGCAGATTCTCAATGTTGCACCTTTACTCATCTTCAACAATCCAAATGAAATGGCAAGCTTCTCACTGTGTCCCCTCAATATTTCAATCTTCTCCTCCTCCTCTTCCAGTTCATGAAGCACAGAGCCTGTGTTGGGTCTATATCCAAATTTACTTATCTTTTCCTCTAATATGCTCCACATCTTCTTAATCTCTCCTGACTCTGGCAGGGAAGTGTCACCAGCAACAAAACTATAAACTTGCCCTCCAACTTCAATCCAACTGTGCCCGGCGTCTTTCTGAAGGCCCATCTCCTTCATCCTTCGCCACACCCGTCTCACATCATCCCATTTCCCTGATGCAGCATATAAGTTTGACAGTAGCACATAACTCTCTGCCTTTTCAGGCTCTAATTCTATTAACTTTTCGGAAATTTTCTGCCCCATATCCAAGTTATTGTGAAGCCTACAGGAACTAAGCAATGAGCTCCACATTCTGGTATCCGGCTCCTCAGGCATCTCATGTATGAGGTTTAAAGCTTCCTCCAATTGGCCAGCCCGACCAAGCATGTCCACCACACATGTGTAATGCTCTAATTTTGGATCAATTCCATACAAGCTCTGCATCTGGTTGAAATATTTTAGCCCCTCCTTAACCAACCCAGCATGGCTACATGCAGTTAGAACTCCAATAAACGTAAAGCCATCAGGCTTCTGCCCCAAACTTACCATTTCTCCAAATAGCTCTAATGCCTTGCTTCCATGTCCATGAACTCCATATCCTGCAATTATAACATTCCATGATGGCACATCTTTCTTAACTAACCAATCAAAGACCCTATGAGATTCTTCTATGCAGCCACTTTTTGCATACATATCTATGAGAGAACAACCAACAAACAGGTCTTCTGTGAGGCGAGCTTTCAAAGCAAAACAATGTAATTCTTTTCCCAATCGCAAAGAAGACAGTTGAGAGCATGCCTCAAACATGCTCATTGTGGCAATTTCACAAGGTAGGGTTTCATCAGACAACATTTGCCGAAAGAGATTGAGGGCTTCATCAGGAAGTCCACTCTGAGTGTAACCAGTGATCATTGCATTCCAAGACACTCTACTTTTAGCTTCCATCCTATCAAATAATACTCTTGCGGATGATAATTTACCACACTGGATGTAAAACGATAGTAATGAAATACCAATGAATGAGTCCGTTTCTAACCCATCACGTAGCACAAATCCATGAATCTGTCTGCCATGTTGAAGAAGTTTCAGGTGGGCGCAAGCTAAAAGGAGGCTCCCAATGCTAAACCAGTCAGGATCCAAGCCTGAATATTTCATTTCAAGGTACAAATCTAAAGCCTTTTTTGGATCTCCATTTTGGGCATAACCACCAATAACTGCGTTCCAGGAGCTCACTGTCTTCGTCTCTATGCCATGAAAGACCTGCTCAGCCAAAGTAAGTGACCCGCATTTTGCGTAGGCTGCAACAAAAGCATTGGCGACCAGTTCATCATATAGAAACCCATGTCTGAATGAGTAACCATGAAGTTTTTTCAAGCTCAAAAGTTCTGATTCCTCTAAACAAGCTGGTAACACATTCAGTACGGTAACCTCATTGACCTTCACTTTCTCCTCTTCCATCTGCATTTTTCTGAAAAGATCAAATGTGCCACAAACATCTCCTTCTCTAGAGTAGCCTCCTATGATGGAATTCCAAGAAACCACATTTTTCTTATCATTCTTATCAAACAAGACTTGAGCTTCAGCCAAGTACCCACATTTGGAGTACATGTCCATCAAGGCATTATTCACCATCAATTCCTGGTTCAGCCCCAATTTCACTGCCACACCATGAATCACCATCCCCATATTTACTTCTCCTTTCCCAGCACACAACGGCAATATAGTCACCAATGTTGCAACATCCGGTACCAAACTTTCCTCACCCTCCAAAATCTTCCTCAACAAACTGTAACACTCTTGAGAAAACCCATTCTCTGAGTACCCGCATATCATTGAATTCCAGGAAACCAAGTTCCTTTCAGGCATTAAATCAAACACCCTAACCGCATCTTCAATTGACCCACATTTGCCATACATTGCAATCAATGCATTACCCACAAAGACATCTGACATCAATCCCATCTTCACAGCCATCCCATGGATGACCTGCCCCAAACCCAGGTCCAAGAGGCCTCCACATGCCTTAATAAGACAAGGGAACGTAAAATTATCGGGTTTAAATACCGTGACGCTAATCAACTCAATAAACACATCAATTGCATCACCATAAAGCTCGTTTCTTGCATAACCACTAACAAGTGCATTCCACTGGAACAAGTTCTTCCTCTTCAACCCATCAAAAACCAAGCGAGAATCTGAAGGAGAACCACACACGGAATACATAGTAATGATGCGGGTATTGAGAACAAAGTCATTGCTGAACTGGGTCGAAGCCGAGACCAAGTCGTGGACTTTGCGTCCGGTTTCGACGTCTTTGTGGCGGCCACAGGCCTGCAACAGGGCACCCATTGCGTCTTTCTTTTGTTGTAAACTGGATATGGCATTGCGAGAGTCTGCTTGAAGAAGGGTCAGAGCCTCAGAGAGGTTTCCGGTGTCGCAGAGATTGTTGATCTCTTGGAGCAAATTGGGTTGGGAAAGTGAGTTGTGAGGTGAAGTGAGAGGTTCTCTTTGGTGGGTTTGAGTGGCACAGAAAGAAAGTGAGGCGTTTGGTTTTGGAGTGAAGATTGAGTGAAGGGAATGTTTGGTGTTCGGTTTGGGCAGGGGATGGCATGAGAGTGGTGGTGCCACAAAAGCCATCATTGAGATGAGATGCCTGTAGGGACTCAGGCTCTTTGGTGTATTTGAAGATTGGAACTGGTCTCTGGTGTTGGTCTTTTTTGGCAGTTACTGGACGATGACAAGACTATGAAGACTAAAAAGGAGTTATTTTCCACCTCAGATGTTCTTCAAATATTCCGGCAGGTGAAGGAAGATTTCATCCCCCTTCTTTCCCATTTAATTTGTAGGATTTTGCTAGTGGTGTGGTGTAGTAGCCAAATGAAAAAATAATCTTAAAAAAAAAGGGTAATATCAAAAATAGAAAAAGGATCGGTTTCCTTAGATTTTGTCCTCTCGAAAATGTGCTTTGAAGACCCCTCAACTTTGACTTCCACTACTTACGTGATTATTATTACATTACATGATGTACAAATGAATGAAAGTATCTGTCTGCAGCTCTGAAAACTTGGTTGGTTTTTATTTATCAATAATCTCCACAAGAACAAAGGCCATGTTTGAAATGATGGAAGCGCTTATTTCTCTCACAACTCTCTCTCTTTCAACAGCCATGGATATCAACTTAGCAGCATTGTGACAATCTACTATCAAAGTTGCACCTTTACTCATCTTCAACAATGTAAATGAAATTGCATGCTTCTCACTGTGCCCCCTCAATATTTCAATCTTCTCCTCCTCTTCCAGTTCATGAAGCACTGTGTTGGGTCTATATCCAAATTTACTTATCTTTTCCTCTAATCTGCTCCACATCTTCTTGCAAAGACTCACAATAAGATATTGTTAAAACAGCCCTAGCATCCCAGCTAGCCACTGGTTACAAAATAGCCTGTTAATCCTAGCCCTTGAGATTACTTAATACTCACATGTCACACAATTTTAAATAACTAAGATCAACAAGCCTTTTGGGCACTCCTGCATCACAAACAGACCTAATTTGCGTCGTGAAAACTTGTCACCAACCATTACCAATTTCATGCATTTACAACAACAAAAGCACCATGTAATGGGAACAGGGACGGACCCAGGATTTCAAAGTGGCGTGGGCTAAATTTACCTTACATACAAACCTATAGAAAACTCGACAGTAAGATTGAATTTCATTGATAACAAAAAAATACACGGGGGACATAATGAGTCTTACTCCTCAAAATGCATCTAATGCAAAATACAAATACAAATAACACTTATATAAAGTATAACCTATTGAATAATATATAGAAGATGTAAACATATAAACTAACAAAATCCATAATTGATAATTCATAAGTCTCAATTGTAAATCCCGTTTGGGGTTAGTTTGTATCTTTTATTAGTGAGACGTGGTGTAGTGGAGGTTTGTTAATGAGATTTATTTGTGTGTGGGGTTAGTTTTAATTTTTTTATTGTTATTAACTTATTGGTAAGACATGCAGGGTAGGTTTCTTAATGGGATTTTAATTGGCTGGAATGGGGGAAGCGGGATGTGTACTGGAGCAAAATTATCATAAATATTGCTAATTCTCGTCAACTGACAGCTTATGTAGCCCCTCCACATTACAAGGAGTAGCAATACTGCATCTATTTTTAGGGTTTTGATGTTATCTCCTAATTATTAAATAGATAGACGGGTGCTATTTTAGCAACTAACCATGGTGTTATAACTTCAACATTTTTATGAATGATTTGCGCATAGAGGGATTCGAACCCCTCCCATTTTACTCCTTCAACACTTTAACCACCATATCACTTATGTTTTTGTGAAAATTTGCTAAAATATTTATATATATATATGGTTTTGTTTTGAATTCTTTTTGTAAGAAACAAATTTTCACATGAGATGAGTAGTAACTATGGTTATACTCATAACCAACCATTTCCCTACCCTTCATATCCCATTCCTGTTTGGATGGAATCAAGCGACTCATGGAAAGAATCCAAAACTCAATCTTCAAATGATTTTGCTTATGGACAACGTCAACCAATCTCGGATCCATATGGGTGGCATGTTAACAATTACATGAAAAATTATTTTGGGGATTTATCATTTGATGACTACTCTTCAAAATATACTTACTCTACACATAGAGATGATGAAGATAGTGAAAATTTTGAACCTCATAGGAACTCTATGTGGTACTAAGTCACTCATGTATCTTACCATGCAATGTATAAAGTGTAAAATATTGTAGTAATTCATTATATATAAATGATTATGGTGTGTTTAATCTTCTTTCATTAATTACTACATATTTTCTACACTTACAGTATTTGCCAGCTCGCTATATAATCAACTTAAATCAGTTAAATCCATCATGCAATGTATTTCCTTCCAATTTTTTGTGATAAACTAATAGATAATTGACTAAATAAACATCATGCAAAGTTTCAATAAAAATTTCCAAGTTTTTCTTACAATTTCCGTGGTTTTTATTCAATTTTTACAGATACCGATAATATCCCGATATTTCCATCGATATTTCCGTGTTTTTGGACTTCCGATATTTCCGATACCATCGATAGGAGAAATGAGATGAGATGATATGATAGGGTTTAGGGTTCGGTCCGGGCCTTCATGGGCTTTTTTATTTTTCAGGCCGGGCCTAGGCGTGATCACTCATGTTCCAATTTTATGTGAAGAGGCTGAAATTCCATTTGTTTGTTTATGTGCCCTCAAAAGAAGTAAGCTGATTTTAATTAAATTTTCTTTTTAAACTTATTTCACCTTATACAATATATATTATTCAATAGGCGAGCCTTCGTTCATATCAGCTGCGTCATTGATCCACAGATCACTAATCTTTAGTTTGTTAATGTTGTCTTCAGGATCATGCAAATGCAGGGGCCACCAAGAGGGGGGCCAACTTGCCGTGTTCTGGTGGCAACCAAGCACATTCTAGCGAAGCCAATCAACAACATTCTTATTTCTTTAATTAATATATTGATGCAGAGTAAACTTGTATGTATAAATCCGTTATAACTTTTATATATAATAATGATCAGTAAATACAATATACTACATTTTTCTTTTCTTCTTTTCTTTTGAATCTTCTATGGCTACAACACTCGAGCATGCATGCAAACTTAGCCGTCCCAGAAAAAAAAGGGATAGCTAACAACATGGTTAGAGGGAACTGAGGTAATCTTTCAGCAAAGAGAAGATGGGGTTAGCCTGAGAAGCTCCCTCTAGCCTTTGAAACATGATTCCCTCCATCCGGGCTTGAACTCCTCCATCACCAAATGTCAAGTCCTGCAGCAATTCCTTCATTGTTCTATCCACTCCAACCAAACTGCTCCCTATGCCACTTAAAATTTCTGGCAGTGTAGGGGACGGTCTTGCGAGCTCCACGAGTGTAACCTTGCACCATTAGAGAACAACTTACAGAGACATAGTAACGGGTATACACAAACATATTACATTTTGCAATACACATAAATAATATGTAGAGAAGGTCATAACACACTCAAATAAAGTAGTTTTTAATAAATATGGAGTTAACTTGCTCTGCATATATTAGTAACACTAATTTATATTCATAACCCATGAAATAAGAAGAGATTTTCTTATAACCATACCTGTCTGTCTTGGGGAATATTTGCCTTGAGTTTTGCTATTGCGACGGCCCGAGAAAGTCCACCAATAGCATCAACTAAACCCCGTGAAGCTGCATCCTTACCAGCCCAAACTCTCCCTTGTGCAACCTCCTCCATTTTATCTACCTGGCACCGCAAATAAATAGGACATCTTTAGATTTCAAGGTAACAGGAGTGAAAAGAAAGCGACTGAAACCAAAACGAAGGTTGAATTGACCAGCATACAGTCATTGATCTGGAAAAAGCTGCCTTGTCTCGAAATTGCTTATATGCATTCTGTGCAGATTTAGCAAAGAGTTCAGCTTCTTCTGGTCTGTACTAGGGACGAAAAGGAAAAGTTGAAACTTTTTCCATTTGTACGAATATAGGAGATTATTACATACACCTAAGAGTGCAACAAATTTGTTTACCTGAAGGATCGTTGTTCAGCTGCAAGAAGCTCTGCATATTTTCCCCTTGATATGATTTCCTTGTTGAAGCCAATCTTCTCATACAGTTTTCCCAAGTTAAACTTCCCTACAAACAAAGATTCATATACTAACTTACAACAGCTAACATAATCCAAATTTCTTTCTGCATACCAACAAAAGGATTATAAACTTGTTAAACTGAAAATAGATAGATAAAAAAAGATCCCACAATTATAACAAATATTTGCTGCGCATTTAGATTTGTGGCTATCTATGCGCATTTGACCAACATGAATATACTTTTTATAATTTATAATTATGTACAACCAAATTCACCTGTCACAACCCCAATGGAACCAGTCAAGGTTAGATTTTCTGCAACAATGGTGTCTGCTGCCATTGCCATATAGTATCCTCCACTTGCTGCCACATCAGACATTGATGCAATGACAGGTTTTGATGCAGCCAAAAGTCTGATTTCCCTCCACATTCTGCACACCACAAACACATCAGGGTAACTAGTTAATTGTGTGCACACATAAACGCACAATCACATATTTTCTTCTGTACAAGAGTACTTGCCAACATATCAACTTTTACGGGGACAAATTCCAACATCTTAGAGTTTTATGCAGCTAAAACAACAATAACTTCAACACCTCATGCACCCAAACATGTCACACGGAAAGGCTTCAGTTTACTGATATCATATTGACAGGAGATCTATCTTCTACATCAAGCTCATTCATTATAAGCATACTAAATATTCAGATAAACGGAAGAATGAATCCCTTACTGCTGCTCTGGCACCCAGATCTAAATCATGTGTACGAAAACTTCCCTACTCATTTAGATGCTCAGGACATTACCCCACTTACTACAAATGCTACACTAGTTGGCAATATTCCAAGTTGTGATAATGGATTTGTTGCACACAAAACTCAGCTAATACATACTAGCACTTACAAATCAGAAGCAAGGGCATCACCTCCAGGGCTGTCAATTCGGATGATAGCGGCCTTATACTTTTTTGATTCTGGAATGGGTAAAAGAGTATCACATGACAGAGGTACAAAAATTAAAACAGAAAAACATATGCAAATAACCAGTGCTGAAAGTTTCACATTAAGAATGAACTTATTTAAGACATATAATACCTCTCACACTACGAATCTTCTCAATGAACTGTTCCCCAATAATACCCGAACCAGGAAGACTAAAAGAGCCCCGTACACGACTAATGCTGCCTGAGGCTCTAATTATGGCTATCTTGTCTTTGCTGCCTGATAAGCCAACAGTCGATTGTCGAACCTTAGAGTATTTCCTGTCGTAATAATGAAAAAGAGGGAGGATGGGATAGTTATATACGCATACAGAGAATAGAGTGGACATCACATCGTAATAAATGAATGCCACCTATAAGAAAGTTGACTACCTGTAATCAACCATAGGAAGAACTTTTTCTTTTTGTACTCCAAGTCTTTCCTTCAACAGTGAAATAACCTGCGAGGGATACATATTATTTAAAAAGTTACCAGCAAACTATCATAATGATGAATAATGTTTTACAGACACAAATCGCTCACCATATGGATGACTTTCGTATCAAAATGGGGTCAACAAAATAATTAGGATTAACACATCACAAGATATTACACTGTGAGAGCAATACAGTATGTATCTTTTCATATCATAAATAAATAAGACTAGGTAGTTACCATGCCCTAGAACTTAAAAATACTAAGACAAACTTGAACATGGATGGAAATTGAAATTTAGAAAAAGAAAACTCTCTCAACTTTCTTTAAATATAAGTTTAAAATCTGGATCTGAAACACATTGAAACAGCGTTCTTACTCTCCATGCATCTAAATTTTCTTTCTTCACATGCATCAAACACTAACCCAAAGCAAATAGGAACCAGAATTCCATACCTCATCATCATAGTGTATGTTTGTGATCCAGCCCTCTTCTTTAAATTTTTCTACTTGGTACACTCCTTCATTAATAAAATTCTCTATGTCTTCTCTTTTCTTTCCTGTAGAAAATTTTCAGAAGTTCATAAGTTCTTTAAAGACTTGAAGATTGGTCAAATCTCAAATCTCAAAGCACCTCTTGTAGAAGAAATTACATCCAGCCAATTCCCGTATATATTATCAAGCAGTGCAGTCAGCATCTCACAATTTTCTTCAGACATAGTTTTGCGTGCAAGTTGATCGCCGGCACTTTTGTATTTACCAATCCTTTCCACTTGTGGCTCAATTCCAACGTTTTCAAGAACACCTGAAAGAAAATACGAATGCCACACAACATGAGCTAATGAATGACTTGCGCCATAAGTACAGCACAGGTGAGGCTAAACAGGAAAAGGTAACAAGTATCTCTAACTTACAAGCATCTACGAAACCAAGAATCTGTATGATCAAATCATCAAGACCATTATTATATTCACAGTTGCAGCAGTGTTGGTATGTTACTCGTCAAAAGGGAATTCTTGCAAATATAAATTACGGATCTTAGTGAAAGGAACTGACCTCTTACGAATGAGGCCTGAACTGTGAGACCAAATAAAGAAAAATAAGCACTTGGAGGGGCATATATCTCTTGGCATGCAGAAGCAAGGTAATACTCTTTCTCTCCACAAGCAGGTACATAGGCCAAAATGAATTTTCCTGCAAGAGTGAAGAAATCAGGTACAGATATTGTTGAGAGTATTTGTCCCACATTGAAAAGTTAAGGGACCAAGCCTGGGTTTATAAGGAGTTGGGCTACTCCCCCCATTGCCAATTGGTTTTGGGGTGGAACCTCAACTTCCTTCATGGTATCAGAGCAGGTTTATAAGACATAACATAATCACAATTCTGAAAATATTCACCTGATTTCTTGAAATCCAATATATGCCTTCGAATTTCTTCGACTTTCCCCCAACCACAATTCAAGCTCTCAATTTGGAGATAGACACCAGTAATTCGAGGATCATACGCTGCTTTGACCAAGTTCTCACAAATTTGAGGTAGCGATAGTCCACTGGAGAATCGACTCTTTAGCTGATCAGATACCTGAACCAATAATAAAATAAATAAACCAAAAAAGAAAAAGCTCCAATCCCAAATTGCCAAACACACTCACAAAGTAGAAATGTGAAAAAGAAAACCTGGCCTCGCAATTTGATGGTCAAGACGCTGCCTTTTTTGACACGCTCCCAAGGGAGGGCAATGAGCATGCGAAGCTTGACGACGAAGCTCTTCCAAGAGCTCATCTTTTGAAACTGAAACTCGCCAGTGGGATAGTCCTTGTCTGGTGTGCCTGTATTGACACTCTCACTGTTAACCTTACCCTGAGGCCCAGACTCGCCATCGATTTGCTTCAATGCTTCTTCTTTGGTCGAGGACGACGACGACGACGAGGAGTCGAAGGCGCGAGCCGAGAGGCTTCGCAGAGAAAGAGGGGGAGAGAATGAAGAGCGGAGGCATTGGGGGTGGAGACCTGAGAGAGAGAAGGGAGTGAGGAGAGGCTTGGAAAGAGGAGTCAAAACGACGGCGTTTAGGACACGGCGGTGGATTGGGGTGAGATGGTGAGAAGTGTGAAGCAGAATGAGCTTCGACATTCCTCGCTCTGTTCGTAAAGCCTCTCTCTCTCCCAGGGAACACAACAGACAAAGGAGCGTTGTAAATTGTAAGTACAAGCCAAGGAGAAGAGGAAGAGGCGGATGGCAAAGGTTATATTTTATCCACGTCACCATTTTTGCCTTGTAGACGACGTGTCATATCCTCGCGGGCTTTTATTTATTTATTTTCTCTTTCTGTTATTTTTATATATCCGTTGATTGAGAAAATTGTAAGAACTACTATGTATAAAAAAATATTTGATTATTTTTTAAAGAATTTTGTAGCTTTTTGGAAAAACAAATAAAGAGAATGGTTGCTTGATATTTCAGAGTTGCTAAGTTTAATCGAGTTGTCTTTGAAATCAGTGGCAGCTCTACCTCGCTAGTGTTTCGTCAAATGTATTTTATCTTGTTATGCATCCTATGAAAACCCAATAAATAAAACCATGAACTTTAGGCCCAAAAAAAATATTGAAATTTTGGCAAGAAGGGTGTGAAGGCCCAGAGTCTTATGATTTTGGGCCTGGTGATGGAACACTCTTTGTTCACTATTTTAGATTCTTTTAAAAGAAGAAAAAATAATCATTTGTGCATACAAAGACTCTTTCCTTTTCCTTCTGTTTTTTTTTTTTTTCAATGAAGAAAGGTTTAAGTTGAGGGGAGGCTACTCTATCTCCGTTAGGCATACCAAGGTCTTTTGAGAATCCATCTCCGTCAGGCATACCAAGGTCTTTTGAGAACTTACAGAGGGGATTTTAGTCTCATTTTTTATTTTTACATATTACCCACCATGAGAGATTGTCGACTACAAAACTCAAACCTAAACATTAATAACAAAGATTACAATCCTTACCAACAGGCTCAACCAACCTAGTTGGCCTTTTCCAATTTTTTCACATCCAATTGAATGAACATATGGATTCATACAACTGATTTGGGGCACAAGCAGACTATGGATTCAAACTAGATCTTTTTATAATAAAATAATATTTGTTACCAGGCAGGACTAACTCGAAAACTCAAGCACATTCTAGCTAGTTACTCAACAATTATATTAATTTCTTGAATATATTATATATATATATTATCCTTACATTAAAAGAGATACAATTCAGCTAACCCCGTTGCTACCTACCTCTACCTACAAAATAATAATAATTAGCAGATGAAGAACATCAAAACATCTATATAATTTAATCTGCTGCTGTTTCCAAAGCCATTCTTCTGATCAACCTGCCTGAAGCTAGTCAAGTAAGCCTTAGCGTTTCTTGGCATGAGTCAATAAAGCCTTGTCTTTCTTCTCTTCCTTTCTCCTTCCAGCTCTAGGTTGCTGCTTCTCCTTTGGTTTCTTCTGGGCCTTTTTGTCAACAGCCAAGCCATGACCTCTGGATCTCTCTCCTCCATGGTGGTGATGGCTTGGGCCAGAGGAAGCATCAGAAACCATAGAATCATCACTGTGGTCATCCTTATGACCATCATTTTCTCCATCATCTTCACTGTTTTCATGGGTCATGCTAGTGCCATCTTCATTTTCACCATCTATGCAGGAGCCAATGTACATTGTCCACCCTGATTCACTGCTGTGACATTCTTCTGCACCTCCGAAGACTTTGGAAGACTCCATATGATATTACTAGACTGAAAGAACAAGGGAAGCTGATGAGAATATTAATAAAGAAGCAGGGGATATTAACACAAGTATAGAAGAATTCTTAAATAGGAAAAGAGAGAAGCTAAATTACTGCTCAAACAAACAAGAAAACAAATGCAGCTATCTCTCACATTACATTTGAAAGCTACACCACAAAACAAAACCCACAATCTGTGTCTTTAATAGGCTAAGTAAGAAGGAAGCTGCAATAACTCTCAGTACCACACCCCCTGGAAATCTAAATATACCCATTAATTCTCTGACTTTTTCTGCTGCGCAGAGAGACAGCTAGAAGCTGTCAATGAAAGTGAAACCCATCAAGCAAAACAAAAAGCCTCCTCCATACATACCAAAGGTTTCTTGAATTTGAAAGGACATGGTTGGTTGGTTGTTCACTGGGTCATTTGGTTTCATAAGATCAATCAATCAGATCAATCAATCATCTTTATTTCTCTCTGCATATGTCATTATTAAGAGAAGGAAGGTATGGATGCCTTAAATGCAAAAGACAGACCGGGGACTTCAAGACTTGAGGAGGAAAGAGAGGAGGATACAAAATCAAAAACAACTAGAGAGAAAGAGAAAGAGAATGAATGAATGAATGAATTATTATAAGATAAGCAAGACCACCCCTGTCTGTCTTTGAATAGGACACAATAGGACCTCTTCACTACCTCATTTAGCTTTCACATATTTACCTGTAAAATGCAAACCACCCAACCCAACTGGAGTTTAGGGTTTTCTTTTTCTAGATAATATATATGATATGAGTTGAGAATGAGAATGAGAATAAGATAGATAGGAAGTTGTCAAATATCTGTGTCTGCTGCTGCTTGTGTCCAGTACAGTCCACCAATTTGATGATGTGCATGTGTGTCTCCTCCTCAAAGCAAGGTTTTGTTATGTCTGTCGTGTTATTGGGTGAAGGAAGAACACGGGTCCTATTACAAACTCAATTATTTGCTTCTATATCCCTTCCCTTCCCTTCCCTTCCCTTCCCTACAACAACAGGAAGGATAAGGAAGGACACTGCCCTCTCTGCCTTCCCTTATCACAAACAATATGCAATCCAGCTTGCTTTGCTTTGCTACCTAGACCTAGTCATATAATAAGACTAATATTTATGCATGTTGATGTTGGTTGGTTGCCGTAAAGATTGAATTTCATATCAAGCTGGATCAGAAAAAAAGAATGAGTGAAAAACCATCTATCTATCTACTTGCCTCATTTATTGCTCTGCTGCTTCCTGCTTCCTGCTTCCTGCTTTTTCAAGGTGAAGTTTGGATTGGAGGGGTGAAAATTATAGCGATCAATCAGACATATATCCTCCCTCCATACGTTACTTCTGTAATAACTTTTTTGAAATGACATTTGTTACAATCAGCTTTTCAAAATCTAAACGTGCTTCTCTAGTTAACCAGACAATTTATCCTGTACCTCGTTTATCATTTCAAATTTTGATTTTTTGGGGCTTAACTTAAGATCTGAATTTGTAATTTACTCACTTTGTGGCTAAAATAAAAGAAGCGAAAATTTGACAACTCGTGTGGTGGACCATCCATGATTGGTAAGGGCAAGAACAAAACGAACTTGAGAGTTAAAATCCAGGTGGTTTGGGCACACCTTGCCCCCAATGCTTTTGAGCATGATTTTTGGTTGTTTCCCGGTGGAAGAGAGAGAGAGAGACAAGGGTGAGGCCCATGTATTATTCTTGCTGCTTGTCTTTTTGTGGTGATCACATCCCGATTTGCTTCTCTCTTTGTCTTCCACGTGACTACTGTTGAGGTTGTGGTTTTTGCAATGGGACAATTTTGTCAAACATGGACCAGATCATCCGACTGATTCTCTTGTTTACTTACTTTTTTTCTTTCACATTTGTATTTTCTAGGCTTAACTCTTGATTTGCTCCTGAACTTGTACCTAACTTTTGATTTAACTCATATTTTTTTCTTTTAGAAAATTAAAGATATAAAAATAAAAAATTCTCCAATTTCCCCATGTCGTCTAAGTCCTCAACATTTCATCCAATTTTCTATTAAATCATTTATAAAAATTTATTTTTTTGAAAAAAATTGAAGAAAAAGAGGAAAACAAATTCCCTCAGACCTACTGAAACCAAACCGAGTGCCAACCCCCCATCCCTCCCCTCCCAACCTGAAGAACCCATCCCTCATTCCTCTTCGGTCTCTCCCTCTCCCCTACCCCTCCTCCTCGTCCTCATCCTCATCCTTCTCCCCGTCCCCTCCTTCCCCGAGTCAGGGCCGGCCCTGACTTTTGGGTGGCCCTAGGTCATAAACTAAATGAGGCCCCTTTTTTAGTATATAATTGCGAAAAAAATAACAAATAAAATTATTTTACTTTGCGCGCTATGAGCAAATAAAAAAGGTAGTATGCATTATAGTAGGAAATATCTCCATAAAAAAAATTCGAATTAGATATTTAATATCATGAAGGAAATTACAAATTTACAAACCGATGTTCCAGCAACCAATAGCCCAAGGAAAGAGTTTGTTGTTTGCTTCTATAATGGTTCTCTATGTGTTTTGTTCCTATTGGAAATTGAAAAAATAGTTTGCTAGATATGAACAAATATAAAGAAAAATTCATAAATCTGATTACCTTTTGAAATTCCCATGCTCTTCTCCTCTTGGTCACCATCAATCTCAAAGACAGATTAAAAAAGAAAAATTGTGAGCTTTTCAGTGAGAGATTGATTCTTAGGGTTACAATATGAGAAAAGAGGGATGAGAGAAACTGGAAATAATAGATGGATTGAAGAGAAATTGGAAAAACAAAGAATAATATGGTGGTGTATTAAATAGAGAGTATGTTCTTCCATGGAGAAACTAGGAATAGGCACTGCGTGGGAAAATAGGAAGACTTTTGGGTTTTCTTCTCGGAAGAGGAATCGTGTTTCCTCATTTAATTTTATCGTGTGTTTTTTTTTTAATAAGTTGGACCCCAAAAATTTATTCCGAATTCGTGAAATGTCCCCCAGATTTTTTATATATTTTATATTTGATGCTAGTATACATATATAATATAAACAATTTTGGGGCCCCCTTAATTGGAGGCCCATGGCCATGGCCCCTCCCGCCCACCCCCAAGGCCGGCCCTGTCCCCTTGAGCAATTAAGGTCACTTGAAAGGCTATTTCATAAAAAGCATTGAATGGAGTTGAATAAATGGGCTAGGCTGGCTAGGCGGGGGCTAGGCGGGCTAGGCGATTGCTAGGTGGTTGCTAGGCGTATTTTATTTTTCTGTATTGATATATTTTTAATGTACGAAATGACAATTTTGACCTCATATTTAAAGGCAAATTGGATGAAATGTTGCGGATTTAGACGTTACGGGGAAAATTGGAGGAAAAATATGTTCATAATTCACATAGACACAAAACAAATGTGGTGAAGGAGAGGTGGCATTGATTCATTGAGGTCAATTCATAGATAAAAGGGAAATCGAACTTAGGACCTCGGGTGCATGTTCTTAATTATTTGAGATACAACCCCCTTGCATGATTTGTTTGATATTATTGTAATGTGTTAATTTACATGCCATTTTAACAAGGGAGATTCACTATTATACCCAATATAGGAGCTCAAATTATAAAAATATCCTATATGAAATGGACTTTATAAACACACCCAAAGCTCATTTACAACATAACAAAAAGGCTTTTAACTCCTTTTAAATGACAAAATTGTCATTGATTGCTTAAAACAAACCCAATACCAAAACATATAAAAAAGCCCAAAACACTCAATAGGGCATCAGAGTAATTTAATAATCAAAATTAAATTCAATAGGGCCAATTGTCATTTTTTGGGTTTGTTTATAGAAATTAAATGATGTAGGGTTTATTTATAATTTTTGTGCTTAAAATGGGTATTTGACTAAATATCTCAAGTTGGATATAACAAGGCCGTACAAATTTATTTTTAGGTCTTATTATAGGAATTCTTTCCTATTGTAACTCTTGGCGCTTTGTACATCCTTATACATATTTTAGAATGTTGATGTGTACCTTTGCTCATAGATGGAACTGGCATCTGTGAAATAAACTATGCCGGTTATGGGGTCGATATCCAAACCCTTGAGGAATCGGAATGGCATTCCCTCTGCACTGGTGGCAAGTTTGGTTGCCAAGCATCTAGGCCATTCAGGAATCGGAATGGCATTCCCTCTGCACTGGTGGCAAGTTTGGTTGCCAAGCATCTAGGCCATCTTTCGTCTCTGTTAAAACTTTTGTTTTGTTTTTGTTGATTCCAATAAACAACTTAACTATCTGACGCCTTTCACCTTAATATTACACAAATCGAGGGGTAAAAAGATCGAGGTTGACATCATGATGGACTTCTTGTTCTTCCTATTAATTTAGCAAGAGTAAAAGTCGTAATGATTTTTTCATATTAATATTTAGGCTTTATATCATTTCTGCAATGCTGAAACAAACATTGACGACGTGAATGATATTCTTCTTTCTTTTCTTTTTTGGTTCAACATGATTTTTTTTTTTTGTGTTGGAATATTAATATTGTTCAGCATGAACCGATTTCATAATACGTGTGTATCTTAGAGCATGTCCAGCAACTAGGCGAGAAAGAGAAGAAAAGGAAGCTGGGTCAAAAGCGAAAAAGTCGAAACAACTCAGCCCTCAGTTCCTTTTTGTGATAGTAGTTCAGTTTATATTAGGGATAGTTTTGGTTTTTCGACTGTCAAAGTTGTTTTACATTTTGGGCCTGTAAAGTCCAACAAATGCGCCCATTCAAAAGGTCTTAACACCTACCCTCTCCCCTTCGACTTACCACGTCTTCCTCTTAAACAGTAGCTTAACAATTCAATATAAAATAGCCATGACTATCTCTTTTACAGCAATTAATCAGCCATGACTGCAACTAGGTACTGGGCGAGGCAAACAAATTTACCTGCAATTTTAAGGCAAAAATAAGGAAACGAGCACCAGTAAAGCTGATAATAACTAGATCTTTTTCTTGTGTGCAAGTGCGTGGAATCTTGAATTAGTTGGAGTAATGGGAGGGAAACAGAATAACCTTGGATACGAATCTTACATTTGTTGTTAGAATAGGCACTACAACAAACTCTCAACGTTAAGTTCTACAAACGAGCATGGATCAGGAATGTCGAAGTTGTTTAACACCTGAAAATACATTAAAATAGACAATTAAAGTAATTATGATATAATATGCTCCCCACGTTTCATTAAATAAAGAAATCCAACCAGAGAAGAATGAAAACTGTGTCAATATAAATTCACTAGTGTGCATATTTTGGATTATATCCTTCAGCGGTCCTGTTTTCCTAAACCTAGAAGAGCCTTTGAT